AATATTTTGGTACCACTAGGCTACACTTTTCGTAATTTTTTTTTTACAAAATTAAAAAAGCGTGTTCATATATACTATTTAAATGTGCGATAAAACGTTATATTGTAGTATTTACTGTGTCATTCTGCGGACGCAGTTAACAGTTGGTTCACCTGCGGCTGCTCCGCGAAGAATACGAGGACAAGTCGTCGCACCAGCTGCTACCACTGACGCTTGACGGTGGGGATTCCGCGCTGCACTGTCTCCGTAAGAGAAGAGGTACGCGCTCTTCGACCTTTGACGTTTGTGATTGCGCCCCACCGCTGTCGACGCCTGCGTCGATTTTCTCGCTAACGGTGTGGCGGCGGTCGTTCGCTGCAATCAAACAGGTGGAATTCAAAGAGTTACTTTGCCATCAAAAGTGTCATCAGGCTTATTTTTGTTTTGGTAAGGCATTTTGTGGTTTATTAACATTGATAGCTTTGCTCTGACCCTCTGCAGAAAAGTGCTTTATTAAATACCAAAACTAAAATTATAATGTTTTTTTGGTAAAAAGTATCATTTTTTGAAATTTCGTTTTTTTAATTATTAATTAAATGCCTAAAGTACTATGCTCCACACCTCAAAGTCACACCACGTGACCACGTACGGAACGCAGTCTTTTGAAAATTTGGCATTTAAGGCTTTTCAGGTTATGTATCTGTCAAAGTATAGTCAACGAAAGAAATAATATTAAGTTTAGGCGTTAAAAATGTATAAATCTTTATAACATTAGAATAACAATGGATGGTTTAAGAATTTAAGAATATAAATACTGCATTTAATGAAATTCTAAAGTGTATGGTGCCAAATAAATAATATTTTTGTGCATTTGGTTCAAATATCTGGTTTTCTCCATAAAATAATTTTAACTAAACAGCATTTATTTAAAAAAATCTAGCTTCTCTATTATGAAATAAGAATATCTGTATTAAAGGTAGGTTAATATATTATAACAAAAATATCATCTAATTTTGTAATTTTAAGGTTAAAAAAATTTATTTTGACCAAAATAAATGAGTATTTTGGATTATTTAAAAGACTGTATAATATGGTATTTAAAAATGTGGTAGTTTTTCTTATCCAGCTTAAAGTGTACCTACATAAATTTTGTCAATACAAATAGTTAAAAAGCTTCGACTGAATTTGATATACATCAAAAAATCATTAAACTTTAACTTTAAAAATTTTAATAAATCACATGTCATGGGAGTACTAAAAAATTTTCACATTGCAAGTTTCTCTAAAAATTGTTTGTTTTCTTAAAATCTAACTTAAAGTAACTATGCCGAGAGGTATGCACAAGTTTTGTCGTTAGAAGTATAAAAGCTTCAATTTAATTTGAACTATATTCAACAATTATTTAGTATACCTATATTTATTTATGACCATATTAACAGACTCTTTCAAATAATCCACTTATTTATTTTGGTCAAAATTGATTTTTCTAACCTTAAAATACAAAATTAGATGATATTTTTTAATAAAGGTGTGGATTATAGTACCCAAAAATTCAATCTCCAATCATATTTATTAAGTATTATCAAAATTTAATATCAAATTGATCAAGCACACTAAAGTGCATCTATTAATTAATGACATTTAACATTTAAACTTTAAATTGTATTTTTACTTGAAAGTGATTTTAAGAACCAAAAATGAAAAAAGAACAGGAAATGGAAGTCGTAATGGAAGTGGCAGAGAAAGAGAAAGGAGACGAACCTTTATGTCGTCGTTGTACATTTGTTTTGTTTTTGCTGCGGTACCTTTACACCCAAGAAAAACCAACGCAATATTTCATTACAAAATTTCATGAGATATACCTACTACTTTAATTTTGCAGGTATATTAAATGGACCTGATATACGACGTTTAATGAAAGATGAAACATTCAAAAATGCTCTCAAAGTTGACGAGCTTGTCGCATATGGCAGTGTTAAAGCTGTTATTGAAAATGTTCTTGGTTCATATCGGGCCTAAAATTGAAAAAAGCTCTTCGTTTTGTAAAGAATTAACGTTAATATGTCATTTTTTTCATCCTGATAAATTTGCCGAACTGATGAACATGGAGAAAGATTTTATCAAGTAACTGCAAATCTAGAGCATTGGTAGATATCTATGGGTATAGCGGAAAGAAGTTGGATTCATTGCTAGGAGACATTTGCTGGAATTTGCAGCAAAAGATGTACGACGATGATGAGGATTAAGCACAATATTACTATAATCGGATTCGATATTTGATACGATTTTATAAATTTAAGGTAGAAAAAAGCAAAATTATGCAATGCATTAAATTTTGAGGGTTTAATTTGGATAAAAAATACTGAAACTTGTTTACTTTGTTGCCCTTCTAATTTAATAATTAAAATAAATGACAAAAAATGTCAAATAATGGTTGTTTTTTTTACATTAAAATTTTGGTTTTAGTATTTAAAATGTCATATTGTTAAGATAAATATAATCCATTTGCCGTATACCAATTACTTTAGTACATTCAAGATAAATTTAAGCCAAAATAATTTAATAAATAATTAAAATACTAACAAAAAAAATTACATTTTGAGGTGATTGAGCAGGGCATTTTATTACAAAATTATTTTAAATCCTAGACGTCCTAAAAAAAAAAACAAATGACATTTTTAAAATCAGCGGCTCAAAATTGTTTGGAATTTTTTAAGTGACCATGTTGGCAACACCGCATAAAACCATGAAATAATTATATTTATAGTTGGTACCAGGTAAAAAAAACAAAGTTGGATTTGTTTTTTAAATTAATATTTTAACTCGAAATCAAAAAAATATAATAAAAATAGCTTAATTAAATTAATTTAAAAAATATTGACGTTTATAAAAGGTAAAACTTCAAACTTTGAAATCTTTTTATTTTTAAAACAAAAATGGAACTAAACTTACCAAATTATAAAACTTAACAAATCAAACTTACTTTCATTATACCTTATCCACTAAATTTGTAAAATAGTTTAAACTATAAACAACGTAAAACATACATAATGATTGTTATCGAAAAATATGTAAAATTCTAAAAAACAATATTTTAAATACCTATTAAGCTTATCAGAAAAATAGTTATCTAAGTAAAATAAATGCTTTCATATTTTTAGCCACAATATTTTAAGAATTACTACGTTACTTACATTTTATTATATTAAACTTTAATACTAAAGATTTTTCTTTCCATCCACCCCTTTTTGTTCGGGGGTGGACTGTTTCCACCATTTATCATGGACACTATTGTTAATTTATCAATTAATAGACCAAATAAAACCAAAATTATAATTTAAAAAAAATTGTCGTTATGATGACGTTGATGACAATTTCTGGCATTCAAAATCTCATTTTATAAATAATCTATGAAATAAATTACAATAAAAAATGTCAAAACCATAAGATGTTGCCAACATGTAAAGTTACTTGCTATAAAGTTCATTTTTTTATTATATATTAAGTTGGTAGCTTATGCCAGTTTGATTTAGTATATAAAAATGGTACTATGCTCCACACCTCAAAGTTCCACCACGTGACCACGTACGGAACGCGGTCTTTTGAAAATTGGGCATTTAAGGCTTTTCAGGTTATGTATCTGTCAAAGTATAGTCAATGAAAGAAATAATATTTATAGTGTTACAGCTTATGTTTAAGCTTTAAAAGTTAATAATGCTTTATAGTATCACAATAACAATGGTTGATTTAAGAATTTAGGAATATAAATACTGCATTTAATGAAATTCCAAAGTGTAAGGTGCAATATAAGTTATATTTTTGTGCATTGGGTCTACATTTCTCCATAAAATAGTTTTAACTAAACAGCATTTATTAAAAAAAATCTAACTTCTCTATTATGAAATAAGAATATCTGTATCAAAGGTAGGTTAATGTATTAGAACAAAAAATATCATCTAATTTTGTATCTTAAGGTTACAAAAATCTATTTTGACCAAAATAAATAAGTGGATTATTTGGAAGAGTGTGTTAATATGGTCATAAATAAATATAGGTATACTAAATAATTGTTGAATATGGTTCAAATTAAATTGAAGCTTTTATACTTCTAACGACAAAACTTGTGCATACCTCTCGGCATACCTACTTTAAGTTAGATTATAAGAAAACAAACAATTTTTAAAGAAACTTGCTATGCGAAAATATTTAATACTCCCATGACATGTGGTTTATTAAAATTTTTAAAGTTATAATGATTTTTCGATGTAGATCAAATTCAGTCGAAGCTTTTTAACTATTTGTATTGACAAAACTTTATGTAGGTACACTTTTAGCTGGATAAGAAGAACTACCACATTTTTAAATATCATATTATACAGTCTTTTAAATAATCCAAATTACTTATTTATTTTGGTCAAAATTTATTTTTCTAACCTTAAAATTACAAAATTAGATGATATTTTTGTTATAATATATTAACCTACCTTTATTACAGATATTCTTATTCCATAATAGAAAAGCTAGATTTTTTTTAATAAATGCTGTTTAGTTAAAATTATTTTATGGAAAAAACCAGTAACCAGTAACCTATATTTAACTACTTATTTATTTGATTTTATTCATCTACGCACCACCAAAGCCAAATTAATTGCATTTTTAACTATGAATTTTAGTTTAAAAAAAAAAGTTTTTATTATGTAGTAGTTAAATAAAACACAAATTTAATAAAAAGTATATTATATTGTATAGTATTAAAATACATGGTAGATATTTCATTAAATACACAACATTCACAAATATAATCTACTGGGTATATTATTGTCTGTATTTTATTCAGTAGCTAATAGCGTAAACTTTCAAATAGATTAACAGAAAGTATATAATGTATATTTCTTTCAAAATAATATTTTCAAATATTAAATTATAGCTATGTATAGTGATGATATGAACCCTTATAGTCAACCCTGTTATGTCAAATACAAAATAGATAGATTTTATAGAAAATCTGTTCTGTGATATTATCAGAAATCCTTATCCCAGTCTGAAAATTCATCAGGAGGTATATCGTTGTCCTTTCCAAAACAATCAAAGTTCGTGACGTCGCAAGGACCTCTAACAGGTTGCTGTATCGGGGCAGGAAGAGTCCTTGATATTAGGCCGTCCCAGTCAAATCCTTGATACCACCTTAAAAAGAATTAATGTTATTTTTGTGGTATTTATACTTAAAGTTTGACATTTGTTAGCATAAAAGTACTATGCTTCACACCTCAAAGTCCCACCACTTGACCACGTACGGAACGCAGTCTTTTGAAAATTTGGCATTAAGGCTTTTCAGGTTATGTATCTGTCAAAGTATAGTCAACGAAAGAAATAATATTATGTTTAGGCGTTAAAAATGTATAAATCTTTATAACATTACAATAACAATGGATGGTTTAAGAATTTAAGAATATAAATACTGCATTTAATGAAATTCTAAAGTGTATGGTGCCAAATAAGTGATATCTTTGTGCATTTGGTCCAAATGTCTGGTTTTCTCCATACAATAATTTTAACTAAACAGCATTTATTAAAAAAAATCTAGCTTCCCTATTATGGAATAAGAATATCTGTTTTAAAGGTAGGTTAATATATTATAACAAAAATATCATCTAATTTTGTAATTTTAAGGTTAGAAAAATTTATTTTGACCAAAATAAATAAGTATTTTGGATTATTTAAAAGACTGTATAGGTAATATGGTATTTAAAAATGTGGTAGTTTTTCTTATCCAGCTTAAAGTGTAAATACATAAAGTTTTGTCAATACAAATAGTTAAAGAGCTTCGACTGAACTTGATCTACATCGAAAAATAATTATAACTTTAAAAATTTTAATAAATCACATGTCATGGGAGTATTAAATATTTTCACATTGCAAGTTTCTCTAAAAATTGTTTGTTTTCTTATAATCTAACTTAAAGTAGGTATGCCGAGAGGTATGCACAAGTTTTGTCATTAGAAGTATAAAAGCTTCAATTTAATTTGAACCATATTCAACTATTATTTAGTATACCTATATTTATTTATGACCTTATTAACACACTCTTTCAAATAATACACTTATTTATTTTGGTCAAAATAGATTTTTCTAACCTTAAATACAAAATTAGATGATATTTTTTGTTCTAATACATTAACCTACCTTTGATACAGATATTCTTATTTCATAATAGAGAAGTTAGATTTTTTTTTATAAATGCTGTTTAGTTAAAACTATTTTATGGAAAAATGTAAACCCAATGCACAAAAATATCACTTATATTGCACCTTACACTTTGGAATTTCATTAAATGGAGTATTTATATTCCTAAATTCTTAAACCAACCATTGTTATTGTGATACTATAAAGATTTATTAACTTTTAACGCTTAAACATAAGCGGTAACACTATAAATATTATTTCTTTCGTTGACTATACTTTGACAGATACATAACCTGAAAAGCCTTAAATGACAAATTTTCAAAAGACTGCGTTCCGTACGTGGTCACGTGGTGGGACTTTGAGGTGTGGAGCATAGTACATAAAATATCTTACTTGTGCTTTTTAATGTCTCCCACACCACCTCTTTGGTAACCTAGCCTCTCTGAAGGCGAATCCCTGCATAACTTTTTGATCAAACTCTGAGCTGATCTCGACACTGTAAATTTCGCGAAATCTATCATGTCAATTCCTTTCAGTATTAAATTATAGGTTTTCATGGGATCTGATGCCGAAAATGGCGGGCTAAAAACGATTAAATAAGTTTTTTATATAGGTACCCCTCACGGTGCTGTTCTGAGAGGTGATTTTTGGACTTTCTGTGAAACCTAATTTTTTTTTATATTTTTGTTAATTAGGTCATAACTAAAATTTTAAGAGCAAAATAAAAAAAAAATTGACGGTTTGAATTGGCTGTTTATTAAAAATATTATGCACTCTTTCAATTATCCAATTAAAACTAGCGATTTAATTTAAATATTTAATATTTGCATAACTAAAAAAAAGGTTTTTACAATTTTTTTTATATATTTTACTGTTTTGTTGCAATAAACGTTCAAACTTTTAATCTAACCTTTGACGTATACATTTATGTTCCCTTAATTAATATATCCTTAAAGGTTGCCATGAAACTTAGATCTATTAAAAATTTATTTGATGTTTGAATTGTCATTTTCAGTATACGTATTCTATAATTTTTGTTTAGTTTTTTAAAGTGTTTTTTATAAACAAAAATGAAAAATTTTAGTAAAAGTTACGAAGAAATTCATGAAATTTAACTAAGGACCGGTTTATTCATCTTTAGTAAAGTTTATCGGGCCGATAACTTTCATGTCTTGGCAATATCTAGTATCCAAAGAAATTATTCGTCATATAAATCAAAAATGAATAAATCGGCCCTAAATAAAATGTGGCACCCTTAGAATTATTGTTTAATAAATGTATACTATACATTTCACCTTAAATTAAAACTTTAAACGTGTATTACAACAAAACAGTAATAGATATAAAAAATGTATAGACCTCTTTTTAGGAAATTAACTAATCTTTAATCTGATTTAAAAAGTTATGATAATATTTAAATAAAATCGCTAGTTTTAATTGGATAATTGAAAGAGTGCATAATATTTTTAATAAACAGACAATTAAAACAATTCAAACCGTCAAATTTTTTTTATTTTGCTCTTAAAATTTTAGTTATGACCTAATTAACAAGAATATAAAAAAAATTAGGATTCACAGAAAGTCCAAAAATCACCTCTAGACATACCTTCCAGTGAGAAGCTCGTGCATCAAAATTCCCAAGGCCCAATAATCCACCGCCCTATCGTGCCCCTTATTCAAAATAGTCTCCGGGGAAACGTACTCAGGCGTACCACAAAATGTCCACGTCTTGCTACTGTACCCCATTCTTTTAGCAAACCCAAAGTCCACCAACTTTACGTAACCTCTGGAATCCAACAGGAGATTCTCCGGCTTTAGATCTCTGTAAATCAGACCTCTTGTGTGCATGTAATCGAAGGCTTCTATGACGCAACCTGTGATGAATCTAGTGGTGTGGTCGTCGAAGCAACCGCGATCTCTCAGGATTGTCCACACCTCACCTCCTAGGCATGCTTCCAACATCATGTACACGTATTTTGAGTCCCTAAATGTTCTGTACAGTCTGCAAGCAAAGATTTTTAGATTGGGTTCAAGAGATTTTAAAATGATGATGTACTATGCTCCGCACCTCAAAGTCCCACCACGTGACCACGTACGGAACGCAGTCTTTTGAAAATTTGGCATTTAAGGCTTTTCAGTTTATGTATCTGTCAAACATTAGAATAACAATGGATGGTTTAAGAATTTAAGAATATAAATACTACATTTAATGAAATTCTAAAATGGATGGTACCAAATAAGTAATATTTTTGTGCATTTGGTCCAAATATCTGGTTTTCTCCATAAAATAATTTTAACTAAAAGCATTTATTTAAAAAAATCTAGCTTCTCTATTATGGAATTAGAATATCTGTATTAAAGGTAGGTTAATATATTATAACAAAAATATCATCTAATTTTGTAATTTTAAGGTTAGAAAAATTTATTTTGACCAAAAGTATTTTGGATTATTTAAAAGACTGTATAATATGGTATTTAAAAATGTGGTAGTTTTTCTTATCCAGCCTAAAGTGTACCTACATAAAGTTTTGTTAATACAAATAGTTAAAAAGCTTCGACTGAATTTGATCTACATCAAAAAATCATTATAACTTTAAAAATTTTAATAAATCACATGTCATGGGAGTATTAAATATTTTCACATTGCAAGTTTCTCTAAAAATTGTTTGTTTTCTTATAATCTAACTTAAAGTAAGTATGCCGAGAGGTATGCACAAGTTTTGTCGTTAGAAGTATAAAAGCTTTAATTTAATTTGAACCATATTCAACAATTATTTAATATACCTATATTTATTTATATAAATAATCCACTTATTTCTTTTGGTCAAAATTGATTTTTCTAACCTTAAAATACAAAATTAGATGATATTTTTTGTTCTTATACATTAACCTATCTTTGATACAGATATTCTTATTTCATAATAGAGAAGTTAGATTTTTTTAAATAAATGCTGTTTAGTTAAAACTATTTTATGGAGAAATGTACACCCTTGTGGAATTTTTTCTCTGAGAAAGTCTTACTTTCTCTGAAAAAGTCTGAATAATACTTATTAAGTCGGAAAAAGTCAGAATAAGACTTATTAAGTCGGAAAAAGTCTGAATAAGTCTTATTAAGTCAGACTAATAGCAAGATTTGGTCTTCTGGAAGAGTTAATAAGACTTTTTAAGACTTAATAAGACTTTTAGTAGAGAAATGGTAGGTACCTACGGAGATAAAAATAAATATCCGAATTAATTCATAGAGGTTGTATTTGGTTATCGTAAAATAAAACACATAGAAAAGTATTTATTAACATTTTTGCTGTTGTTATAAGCCAAGTTTATTGCATAATTACCAATATAATAACATAGGTAAGATGTAATAATTATAATAATTAAAATTTTATACATACGATGCGCTTGACATGCATGCTTTAATTGTTTCCACCATAGAAAAAGGAGTTAATATCATGTCTATAGACATGATATTTTCGATAGACTCAGAAGATAAATATGGTTGATCTTCGTGTTTCATTCATCTTTGTATCATGGTTGATCTTCGTGTTTACTTACAGTGTTGCCATAAAAGTTCCTAAACATAAATTTCAAAATACTAAAATAATATTAAAAATGTAACAGGATAGAACAAAATAATTGTGCATATTTAGTAAATATACAATATTATTTACTGAAAATTACTTTTGTTATTCTTTTGATAGAAATTTGCAAATCACCCGCAAATATTACGAAAATACCCGATTTTCGAGTAAAATACTTGCAAACGGCAACACTGTGTCCCACTGACAGGTCAGCTGTGCTCTAATTGGTCAGCTAGCTGAGCTGGTCTCTCGATATTACGTCTAGAAGATTTGTTTGTAACAATGTTTAGATAGTTAAATATTTGCGTGTATCAAAAGAAACTATTAAAATAAAACGTACAGTGGCAACTCCTTTTTCTATGGTGGAAACAATGAAAGCATGCATGTCAAGCGCATCGTATGTATGATATAATTATTACATCTTACCTATGTAATTATGCAATAAACTTGGCTAATAACAATAGCAAAAATGTTAATAAATACTTTTCTATGTGTTTTATTTTACGATAACCAAATACAACCTCTATGAATTATTTCGGATATTTATTTTTATCTCCGTAGGTACCTACCATTTCTCTACTAAAAGTCTTATTAAGTCTTAAAAAGTCTTATAAACTCTTCCAGAAGACTCTCAAATCTTGCTATTAGTCTGACTTAATAAGACTTATTCAGACTTTTTCCGACTTAATAATTCTTATTCTGACTTTTTCCGACTTAATAAGTATTATTCAGACTTTTTCAGAGAAAGTAAGACTTTCTCAGAGAAAAATTTCCACAAGGGTACACAATGCACAAAAATATCACCTATATTGCACCTTACACTTTGGAATGTCATTAAATGCAGTATTTATATTCCTAAATTCCTAAACCAACCATTGTTATTGTGATACTATAAAGATTTATTAACTTTTAACGCTTAAACATAAGCGGTAACACTATAATATTATTTCTTTCATTGACTATACTTTGACAGATACATAACCTGAAAAGCCTTAAATGCCAAATTTTCAAAAGACTGCGTTCCGTACGTGGTCACGTGGTGGGACTTTGAAGTGTGGAGCATAGTACATACCTGGATATAAAAGGATTCCTACACCCCATCATAATAGTCTTCTCGCTAATGATATGATTCTGCTGCTGAGTATCGACAATATGCTGCTTCTTGAGGCACTTTAAGGCGAACGTGAGATTCCTGTCCTCCCTGTATTGCACCAACTCCACCCTCCCGAAACCCCCAATCCCCAACGTAGCAATAACGTCCAGATCGTCCAGATGTATGTAGTCGTACTCCTGTTTCTCCATTTGGAGGCAGCTCATTGGTCGCCCGAGGCGTTCCACGTCATCGTAGCATTTTTCTCGTATCTCGCACAAGTCGCCTATGAGCTGGTTGAAGGATTCCCGGTCTAAAGTGAGGCACTCCACGCCTGGGTGCTGAGCGATTATAGAGGCGGTTCGGCAGTCTTCTTTCAGGAGGGCTTGCTCCCCAAAATAGTCTCCTCTTTGTAGAGTGCGAATCTCTTCTTCTTCACCTTCTATGCAACCTAAACATGAGTGAGATAGTTGGTAACATTAAAACATAGAACTATTTATAACAACCTGGTAGTCTCTGGGTAACTTTAACACAACCACTGCTTATGATGAAAAATGTATCCCCACTAGCTCCTTGTCTTATTATATGGGCTCCAGCAGGATAAAACTCCTAAAGAACATTATAAGTAAATTAAAAAATACAATATAACATTTCAAACATACCACTTCCAGAACATCAGCGATCTTAGCCAACACCTCATTACACAGTTTTGCCAAGAGAGGCACCGATCTGAGGAAGCCTAAGTTGTCCTGCAATCTTTGCAGTCCTGTTCGAACCATTATCCTTTGGAATATTCTTCTGTCCAGCACCCATACTTTAGAATCTTCAACGGCTACAAAGTTACATCATCTTTTATATCACAGTACTGATTCTTATGAATAATATTATCTTACCTCTTATAGACGCTGTCCTCATGCAGTTGTACAGCAGGGCGAGCTCCCCGAACGTTTTTCCAGGACCGATGCGTCCAAGTGTTGTGTCATTTTTTATTACTTCAAACTCTCCTTCAGCTGATACATAGAGGTGCGCGCCTGAATCGCCCTCCCTGAGAAATACTGTGTTTGCTGCCACTTCTTTAGAGTACATCGAGTCCACCATCTCTCTAACTCTGACAGTGTCCAGGTTGCGCAGGAAGTCATTGTCCAAGATGGCGTCTTTAATCAGTTGCTTGGATCTGATGAAATTTTGCATTATTATTTATGATATTAGCAAAATAAATTGGCATATTCGCAATTAAATATGGAAATGGTGTAGTTTTACTTCAATCTTATTCAACAAACCGTCAAAATGTAGTTGTACACAAAAATTATAAATCCAATCCTTATTTAGCTTCCTTTGGTATACCACAGGGTTCTAATTTGGGACATTTACTTTTTGTTGATGAAGTTGGAAAAATAAATTACTCAGTCACAAAACAGCAAGCCGTCTCGCTTAGCGAACTCTTAAAACATAAAAGCTTAAAACCCACACATAATTACTAAAGTGCAAATAAAATATATTGCAACATATATAATGTGTAGACCCTACGCTCAAGAAAGAGTGAAGTGATCAGCTACAGGGTGGTCGTACCACCTGTCAATTGGACGGTTTTCACGAGACAAACAAAAGACGACAACCAAGGGAGGAAAGGGCCATCTGCAAAATCGGATAAGTAACCTTAAACATCTGCATGACCTAACACATAATTTGCAACATTGGACACGGCAGTTACCTTAAAACTTAAATTAGGCACTTTGCTAAAAAACATAAAGTAAACAAAGTGCATCAGTAACAATAGAGTCATTCCAAATAAAAACACCAAATGGGGTGCGCTGCTTGATTTTTTATTTTGATAAAAAAAATTGAGGATGATCTTTTAGGTATCAAATATGAAAATCAGTTGCGGTTTTAATTTTTGGATTCTTTACTTTTATCGGCACCCTTAAGAAATCTGAAATCGTGTCAATTTCTTACTCTCTTATAGTGGGCCAGAACTTTTTTCTGTGACAAATATTGAAATGATTTTAATTTTGTTTTACTGTTCAGTAAGTGTGTTTTCGTTATAAATTATTATTATCCAATTAGTTAATCTCATAAAAGAATGGTAAACCACTAAAGAATAATGATAATTTGCCAATTTTTGTGATTTTTGTCTGGCTCCTGTACCTATTCTACTAAATCTAGAAAATTATTTTTTTTCAGGTATCAAGTACTTATACAATAGAAAACGTAACTATTATTTTAAGTTTCTAGACTATCATTTTCTTTATTAAAAAAATTATTGAAACTTGATAGTTCTTAAAATTAGTCAATTTTGCCCTCAGAAAACATTATGTTGAGGAAAAAATAAAAATCTGAAACTTTCAGGAAATGTAGTCCCCACCTTAATATTTTTAGTCCAGTTAGTCTTGTTTTGTTATTTTTATTCCTTTTTTCCGTCATCATTATTATAAAAATGAAAGGTATTGAAAACAAAATTAAAAAAACGAATTCTTACCTAAAATCTTTCTCATGTTTGACGATGCTAATATCGCTGGCGAGACCTGTTGATTCGCTCGACTCTGCGGAAACTCCCTGCTTTTTAGTTAAGTGAATTCCTCCTGCAGCCTGTTGATTGTGCGGATTCCTGTTGGCCATCGCATGCTGCTCCTGGATGGAGGACAATATGTCCTGGTCATATTTGAACTGAGCAGTCTGCTGCAAAACACTCTAAAAGAAATGGAAGATTTTTTATTTCAAATATATATAATACAAAAAATTATACAATAGAGTGTCTCAAAAAAACGACTATTTTTTTTTCCGAAGAACATTAAAAATTCGTCAGAGTATCTCTAGAAAATGACCCTGTGAAAGTAAGAGCTCTTAATATTAATATTTAGAGGTGGCGTTTTGTAATTTTCTATTTCCCATTTAAATAACATGAGAAATTTTTATTTTCAAATTTGGAATTTTGTAACGTGATAACGAGCTACTTTATAAGTATGACGAAATTACTTTACTAAATTATTAATGCTCTACAAAAAAGGTCTGATTGACTTTTTGCGTAAGTCAGGCCGTTTCAAAGATATCGAGCCTCAAACTTCAGAATGTTTAAAATTATGCTTTTTTTTTCTAAAATACAAAAAAATCAATTTTTATGTATTAAAGACCCAAAATTATTAACTTGAGAATAAATATATGCATATATTTGATGGAATCCAGATCTAAAATTCTTAATAATTTGATAAATGATAATTTTTATTGATTTTTAGCAAAAAATATTCACTTACCTAAAAAAATTTGGTAAAAGTTTACTATAAATTTATTTACATTATGTATTAATAATATATTTACTGTTTATATAGTCAAGTTAATAGTCCATTTCACTTTATATCAATTTTCTTCTGTTATCTCCTGATTTTTTTGTATTTAAGAAAAAAAAGCATAATTTTAAACATTCTGAAGTTTGAGGCTCGATATCTTTGAAACGGCTTGACTTACGCAAAAAGTCAATCAGACCTTTTTTGTAGAGCATTAAATTTACTATAAGATGTAATTTCGTCATACTTATAAAGTAGCTCGTTATCACGTTACAAAATTCCAAATTTGAAAATAAAAATTTCCCATGTTATTTAAATGGGAAATAGAAAATTACAAAACTAAATATTAATATTAAGAGCTCTTACTTTCACAGGGTCATTTTCTAGAGATACTCGACGAATTTTCAATGTTCTTTGGAAAAAAAATAGTCTGTTTTTTTGAGACACTATTATACAACAATTAGTTTTATTTTTGGAGTTTGTTATCAATTAATAGTCAACAATAGTAGCATTATTTCCAAGAATTTTCATTAAATTTTCAGGTATCAGGTCACAACAACACAATGCCATCTGATGTTCTAAGAAATGTTATTAAATTTTCGTAAAACAATTAAAAGCTTATCAGTTTATTAAACACAGAATGTTTTATTGAAAAGTTCTATTTTTAGAAACACAACATTATAAATACTTAACATTGTTATGGTTGGTTCAACATGTTATTGTTATACGTGTGGGTTAAGGGGAAATTTTAATATATTAAGTAGTCAATATTGATATAACTCTAACATATAATATCATTAGTTGCGGAAAGGAAAAAAATACGTATAGAAACATCTTTTTCATTATTTTTTATGATTTTTTAATTTGAGATTGTTTTACAAAAATATTTTCACAGTAAATTAATTAAATATAATGTTTGGTACTTTAGTTAAAAAAATAATTTATCTTCTGAGGTGTTCTGACGTTTTAGAGTATACTTCGAGTTCTAATTGATCGATTTGACCAAACAAGCACTTAAATCAAAGGTAATTGAGTCCTCTACAACTTACTCTTGTATAGTTTTGGTATCGGCTCAGTAGTTCGATACTGTCGATTTTATGAAGTTGAAAAACTCCATTTTTTTACAATAATAAAGAATGTTTACGTTTTTTCTTCATTTTATTGAATTATATAAAATTTAATATGAACATTGATTTTTATTTTAAACATTAAATATTTAAATTAAATTTTATATTGAATATTGAACAATAAATATTGAACATTGAAGAAATTGTAAGTTTTATTTATAGGTTTAAAAAAAAATCTGGATCCTTCTCTGTTTTTTGTTGCTTTCGTATTCCGTTTCTCGTACGAGGGACCAAATGTAATCACCCATCATGGCTGCATCCCAGAAGCCGTAATACCGCCGCTCCATAGACTTCATTAGCTGGTGAAAACGTTCTCCGTGCTCATCACTTACGTCGCCCAGATTGTGCGGGTTATTTACGCACTCGAACTCTCTACTTCTTTTTACTCATTTTACACTTTTTATTAACTAAATAAAACCATGATAAAAATACCTTGTTGAAATATCAAAAAATATGAGTAAAATGTCACAATGCCAAAACGAGAAACAAAAGCATTCACGTTTGCGGAGTCATTTCAAATTTAAATTTTGAATAATGTTTTCGGTGAAAAAAGTACGTAAAAAAACTCAACCATGCACTTTATTTAGGTTTTCATTAAAGAATAAACATATTACAAAAAAAAAGAAAAAAAAAAGAAAAATTGTCAAAAAGCCGAATTTTGGTTCCACTAAAAAATTCATAACTGGAGTAATCTATTTGATTTAAACCTTTCCTAGGACGATATGTAAATTTTCGACCTTAATTCTTGCCATAAAAACGAATTTTTTAAGTTATTAAAATCGCTAGCGTCAAAACACTTAACCGATATCAAAAGTATGTAAAATAAAGTTTTAGAAGGCTCAAATACCTTCAATTTAAGGGCTTGTTTGACCAAATCGATCAATTAGATTTCAAGCTATACTCAAAAACGTCAAAACACCTCCAAAATTGATATTTCAAAAACGCATAATAATATACTATTATTTATTTTTTATTAGTCAGAAATACTATTGCAACTTTCCATTGTTTTACGTATGATTTACTAATTTACCTAAAACATATGTTTTTTTTATACAAATATAACGAAAATTTATAACCCATTTCCAAGTAAGAAAACTATAAAAATCCATTTAACTATAATATAAATTATTTACTACATAAAATGTAACGCAGTTAAAATTAAAACCAACAAAAAAAATACCATTAAAGTTAACACTGCGGAATTAAGATACAATCAAATAATATAAGTATTTTTTTATGTAAATATTATACCTATTAACTATAAATATGTTAATAAACTTACGTGTACCTATGTAGATAGCATTAAAAATTAATAACTAAGTATTAAAAACTTGGGTGTATAAATAGGTTTTGAATAATCAAAAGCAGATATGACCTATGTCGTGGTAACATTGGTAACTACAATATTAAGTAATAGCATCCGATTTTGATTTTACAGTATTCAAATAAAATTCCAGGTTGTTTACAAAACAAATTATTAAGTTTTGATGAACGAGTTTTAATAAGGCACCAGCGAGTGTTTAATAAAATTGAGTGTCTAGAGAAGTTTATAAACGAGTTCCATACTACCTAAACTATTTCTATGCATGTAAATTATTATAAAAAAATGTACCACCTAAGGTAACTTTTTTTTATTAAATTTTCAGTGTCTTATTGGGAAAGAAACCTACGATTTGTCAAAGTAATGAGACTATTTTTATTTACAGAATAAACTTTTTTTACTGATAATAAAATTCTCATTTTCTATAAACGAAGCAGACTTGTTGTTTAAAAAGTAAGATCGTATTTTTTTTATTTTGTACATTATATAATATCAGTTAATTTTTTTTTATAATAAATAATTTGTTTTAATGCCTTGCAATTATTTAAAAAAAACTACCCAACACCCACCAGTAGGTCGAAAATGTGACCATTGTTACAATGAAAACAGTTTATTGAATTAACAATTAATTTGTTGTTAAATTTTCATAAATTCTATTAATATTATAAAAAAAGTTTTATTTTAAACGAAAAAGGATTTGTAAAATTTACAAAATTTCTATGAATAATACCATTAGGGTTTCATTAATCCCACAAAACGTTTTTGTAAACGATATAGAACTGTTTTTTAGACAAATAATAATAACTATATTTATCAATGCGTTTCTGCATCTGGAAGAGTGTTATTTTTATAAACATAACGTAAATTTACTTTATAATTAATGCAAATGCTACGTATTACTGAAAGAAGCGTTTGTAGATAAATAATTTTAATAAAAATGATCTTTTTGCCGTAACAAAAGCAATTGTTGGACGAATAGGGATCTTTACTTTATTAAGACAAACTACTTTTTTTGTTATATTTATTAAAAAAAATTCTGAGAGTATGAAGCGATATCTCTACAAAAAAAAGAAATTTATCCATTGAAAATTTACTTACAACCGATATAGTTTTTTATTGTGATATTTAAGAGAGTAAAAAAACTTATAATAATTAAAATCTTTACAATTTTTTAAGTTACGCTGGAGATTAAAATTCGCCTACGCCATAACAAAAAGCACAACCATGTTTCAGCTGCCATTATTCTCTTACTTATTCAATTCTTTGTTTGGAAGCTAGTCAATATCTTTACTCCTTTAACTTGAATTCTGTTTTTCGTATAAAATTCAAAAGAAGTTTAAAAGTACCTAAAACAAATTATCGAAGATTTCCTGTTTATTTTTAAGAACAGTCCCGAATAAATGGGCTGCTATTTTATGTTTAATTAAAAATATGCAAGTAGATATTACAGCTCAGGTTCCAGATTTTTAACCGCAATTAATTATTTTTTACAATGTTTTAAAAGTCTAAAACCTATCCTCCGTGACTGTTACTCTTTCTAGGTTAACCTTTATGTTTTCAATTATCTGAGGTAGTAAAAGCATACTAAAAATATCAGTTCACTGAGTAAATTAAACACATCCAAAGCAATCGAATCAAATATAAAATATTATTAAAAATTTAAAGAAATAATTTTTATAATTTATGTAGGTGTTACAAAAATTGATTCTATCCTCCGTGAATCTGTTTTTGCTTTAAATTTTATGCAACGGATGACGCTTTAATCATTTTAAATAAGCAAAAACCTCTGTTTACGACATTATAGATGCATGTGATTCCTGAAGGTCAGTTAGAATTTATATGTAGATGAGAGTGTTGCTGTTTTATAATTCAAAAGTTTAAGTTCATTAATTTGCTATTTAAAAACCTATCCACCGCGAAGTGTAATAACTCAGTAAGTAGATTTTTTTTTACAAATATTTA